GAAGGTGACCTGGAGTGAATACAGACTTAGACCAAGATTTTCTTGAACATTGTAAACTTAATTCATTTTAATCTCTGCATGCCCCGTGACCCTAGCACAGGACCGGCACAGGACTGGTGCGGGAGAGCACTTGCTGGGAGAGTTGGAAGCAGCCATGGATGGGCAAGTGGGCACAAAGATGTGTGCACGGGTGGGTGGATGGACAGGCATGTAGCTGGATCAATGATGGATGGAGAAGTCGGACATCTGGGTGTATAAATGTGTGCTAAGTGGGGGGAGTGGAGGGATGGTGGGTGGGTGGGGTGAGGGTAGAAGAAATAAATACGGGACACGCCCTCATTGTGATCTGTCTGCTGGAGGGCTTCAAGATGGAGTGAACCCAGAAAGCACGTATCAGCAGGCCAAGGCCCACGTGAGGCAGCAGCTCTGCCTTTACGAGTGTGTTCTCCAGGCTAACCCACACGGGGATGGTGTGGCCAGGACACAGGTGACCTGCACCACTGTGTGCAGTAATGACATGTGGAGGCGGCTTCGACTTTATCACTCCGAGCAGGAGGGAGGCCTGGACTAGGGCCTCACACCTTAGAACAGCACCTGGTGGGGGCAGGCGATTCGTCCGTACCTTGGAATTCTGTGTGGCCATTAAAAATGGAACGGCTCTTTATGTCTTGAGTGGAATAAACTCTGATATATCATTAAGAGGGGGGGAAAAATCAAGGTTCAGCTAGTGTGTGTACAGTGCTTTCGTTTTCTGGTTTTTAAGGGGTGGCAGGGAGAAGACACGTAGATATTTGCTTCTCCAAGATGAGCGCCCCCCCCACCCCCCGCCGCCAGGAGACTGGTGACTGGTCCTCCCAGGAAGGGCGCCGGGCCTGGGGAATGGCCAGCACTTCACCGGATCCCCTTGTGGACTTTCTCAGTCATGACCCAGGCAGATAAGTTGTCTTGTCAAGCACAGACTGAGCAGCGTGGAGTGCGTAGCAGTTTATGGAATATAATGAACAACATAAACTGATGAACAAAAACAGATCCAGAGACAAAGAAGCATCGATCAGACTGTCAAACCTCAGAGGGAAGGTAGGGGAGGGTGGGGGTAAGTGGGAGAGATCAACCGAAGGACTTGTATGCATGCATATAAGCCTAACCAATGGACACAGACAACAGGGGGGTGAGGGCATGAGTGGGGGGATAGGGGGAAAAGGACACATATGTAATCCTTAATCAATAAAGAAAAAAATTAAAATAAATGGTTACGCCTTGAAAAAAAGAAAGTGATATGATGGAACCCCTATTTATATACTTGGTGTGTTTTTGTTGTTGTTTTGCTCTGAAACTTCTATAGAAAAACTAGTTCTTAAGCTCTGGAGAAATTTCATTCCCTATACAGCAAAAAACTTATGAAGAATTGAGAGAGAATTGGGTGTCCAACTTATATAAGACCCAGTGGCAGGCCGATCTGTGTAGGTTTGATCTGGCCACATTCACCCTTCCCCAGCCCTATGCCAAGAAGAATACAAGAATGAGGAGAGGATTTCAGGGCTCATCTGGGTATTTGGTAAGAAATGTTAAGAAGATGCAGACATTGTCAGAGTCAGATGTTCTCGCTGGGGAGGAAAAGAGGCTCAAAGGAATTTGGAATGTTGCCAGAAGGAATCAGGACCAACCAAGCACTTGGAACCTGTATCATGTATCTGAAAACTTCCAAATTCTATCTCTTTGCCTTTGTACTTTGCTAACAGTTTATTCCTTCATGATACCCAGTTGTGGTTTACAGAGGACTTTCCAAGGCCACAATCTGGCAAGCCATATCCCAGTTTGAATAATAGTTACTATTTATTGAGCACCTACTCTATGCCAGGCATTGTGCTGTGAACTGGATATATATTAGCTCATTTAATTCTCACAGCAACTCTGTGTTATAGATGTTATTGTCTCTATTTTATAGATGATGAGAGTGAAACACAGAGGGGTTGAGCATTATGTCCAGGGTTACTTCATTAGTATACGGTAAGGCCAGAATCTGAATCTAGATCCTAATGGTTCAAAAGCCCTTCAAAAACCCATGTGCTTCCTACCTCCCCAGCCCTACTGTGGCTCTAAACAGCAGAATAACACAAAATCTATAAAAGAATTCTAAGGGTTGTTTTTACTGTAGACTTACATGTGTGTGCATGTGTGTGTGTGCGTGTGGGTGTATGTGTGAAAACCCATGTGCTTCCTACCTCCCCAGCCCTACTGTGACTCTAAACAGCAGAATAACACAAAATCTATAAAGGAATTCTGAGGGTTGTTTTTACTGTAGACCTACATGTGTGTGCATGTGTGTGTGCGTGTAGGTGTATGTGTATATGTAGAGGAATAGAATTGTAAGGAGGGGAAATAAGCTGGGTTGGCAAACTTGACTATAGGCCATTTCTGGATCACTACCAGTTTTCATATAGACCACAGGTAAGAATGTGTTTTATGTTTTTAAATGGTTGGGGGAAGGGGGAATCAAAAGAATATTAATATTTTGTGGCATGAAAATTCAAGTTTCAAGCAGTTAGTTACCTACAAGGGAGCGCCCATATGACCATCAGCTGATTTCTCAACAGAAACTTTGCAGGCCAGAAAGGAATGGCAAGAAATATTCAAAGTGATGAATAGCAAGAATCTACAACCAAGATTACTCTACCCAACAAAGATATCATTTAGAATTGAAGGTCAGATACAGAGCTTCACAGACAAGAAAAAGCTAAAGGAGTTCATCACCACCAAACCAATATTACATGAAATGTTGAAGGGTATTCTTTAAGAAGAGGAAGAAAAAGGTAAAAATATGAACAATAAAATGGCAATAAATACATATCTATCAACAATTGAAACTAAAAATCAAAATAAGCAAGAAATCTAATGAACAAAATAAACCGATGAATAAAATAGAATCAGAGGAATGGAAACATGGAACAGACTAATGAATCTCAGAGAGAAGGGGCGAAGGGGGTGTGGGAAGAGATTAACCAAAGATCTTATATGTATACTAGTATATGCATTACCTACGGACACAGACCTAAGGCCTGGGGTGGGGCGGGAATGGGGTAGAGGGGAATAATGGGGAGAGGGGAAGGGGACATTTGTAATAATCTCAACAATAAAGAGTTTTTAAAAAAGAAAAATTCAAGTTTCAGTATCCATAAATATTTATTGACATATAGGCACAATCATTTATTTACGTGTTGTCTATGGTGGCTTTTTCTCTATAAAGGCAAAATTAAATAGTTGTGACAGAGACCATCTGACACAGAAAGCCTAAAATAGTTACTATCTGCTCCTTTACAGAACAAATTTGCCAACCCCTACTATAGGCAACAACAAGGAAGGAACACGGGGTTTAATATTGTGACAAGACTAAAGGCAAAGAGTTGAAGTTCAAGGCTGTCTCTGGAAGTGTGTGGCCCACAAGGAGAGAGCTTCTTTGGGCCCTGGAAATAGTTTCATTGGGTCACAGAGATTTGTTCAGGAATAAAAGGCACATATAGGAAGGGTTATTATATGTGCTAACATTCTCTGTTGCACAATAAACAAATATTTCATGGATAAAGTAATTCATTCAGATATTTACTAGTCGTGTGTGTGTGCGTGTGTGTGTGTGTGTGTGTGTGTGTGTGTGTGTGTGCCAGATACTGTGTTAGATGCTGGAAATACATAGATGAAAAAGATATGTCCCTGCCTTTGAGGAGTTTGTAGCCTAGTGGGAGAGCCACATAAGCATGTATATAGCTAGCTCTAAGTATTTTAATAGTATACTGTGGGTTTGATTAAATGCTGGATGAAGTAATTTCTGGGACTATTTTCAGTAATTTGTGATGGGCCCTGAAGAAAGAATAGGTGCTATTCTTCAAAGAGCTACATAACAGGCTGAGGGAAAGCCTGACAGTGTGAGTATTTGGAGCTTATAAGATTGCGAAAGAAAGAGACATTAGAAATGATTTAAAGGTTCTGTTGCTGGGTGACTGGCAGGATGATATAATCTGATAGAGAAGAAGGGAAAGGAGGAAGGAGGCGGTGGGTGGGGTTGGGGTGAGTTCAGTTTGGGACACATGATTTGAGGAAATGGCGAAACACATCTGGCTTCCAGTTAGAAAACCTTTTTAGAATGTTTGGCACAAGATTCCCAGAATTCAGATTGAAATTGCTTTTCCAGAGCTTTTTCATTGGAAAAAGGGGGAAGTACACATTCAAGTTGTAGAGAAATTCACAAATCTACTTTGACACATGTTTGCTAGAGCCATGAGATTAAAAATAGCAGTGGACAGAACATGAAGCCATCACATAGAAAACTAGCAATAATTATGCATTTGGCGTAAAACCTTGTTCCTGTTCATGCCACCTGCTGCTCTCAGAATCTAGTTTATCTTTCTGCCTCTAGACTTGGACAATAGAGAAATGTCAGCTTTTACCTTCCACATGAGATTCCTCAGCAAGAAGAGGTGTCCATATCTGTCATCTAGGTCTAGTTTTGTCTTTTTGGTTCTAGAATTCCACAGTGGAAACAGAATCTGAAAACTTTTACTCAGACACTTGTTAAATCTTCAAATGCTTAATCTCAACATTTTCAAATGCTCAAATGTCTGATTTTAAAGACTGGAGAAGTCTGTGATTGCTTTATGTATATCTACTTGCTGATGTAATGCATAGGTTTGGGGAAAACTTAGGTTGATCGTTATCTTCTCTGGTTCTGTTAAAGAAGTCAGCATTTTAAAAAATATATTTTTATTGATTCAGAGAGGAAGAGAAAGGGAGAGAGAGATAGAAACATCAATGATGAGAGAGAATCATTGATCAGCTGCCTCCTGCATGTCCCGCACTGGGGATCCAGCCCGCAACCCAGGTATGTGCCCTTGACCAGAATCAAACCCAGGACCCTTCAGTCCACAAGCCGATGCTCTACCCACTAAGCAAAACCGGCCAGGGCAAAAAAGTCAGCATTTTGATATCCTTTCTATTTCTGCTTTTTAAAGATTTTCATGGCAGACCTGATGAAGCAGAAGCTGAACTGAAGCAGAGAACTGAAGAATGTGTGCTACCTGCAGAGACCATTGAAACACTTCCTGCGGCTGGAAGACAGCAACCCCCTGTCAGAAGCATTATTTTATCTGGAATTTCAAGTTTACAGAGGATTTGCTTTCTAAAAATTGAGCAAACCTATAGGTAAGATTGGCTATACATTTTACTTAGACTTTTAGATTGCTTTAGATTGGCATTCTCTATTTCCAAAGGAAGGAGTCAGTCAGAGATTTCAGTATTCAGTTAGGCAGCCAGGATTAGCTGGACTGCCTGGCATGCCTAAGACAGTTACTTAAACGGGGGAGCACATTCCTACCAGAATATAATAGTAGAGAGGCTCATAAGGAAAACCATGCAGTAAGTAAAATTTATTTATTTTACTTTTCATTATAAAACAACTATATCAAATCAAATAAAATACAACAGAAGTATAAAAAATAAAATTTTGTACTCATTCCATTTCATTCTCCCAAAATAACCATTGTTAAAATAACTCGAGATGTATCTTTTCAGTTCTTTTTTTAACTTATAAGTGACATATATGATGACCTTTTGAAGTGTTCTGTATAACATTCTAACCTGAGGTTCTATCATGCCTGGCAAGTTATAAATAATGCCTCATTTGTAGATTGGGTCAGATGATATCTGGGTGAGAATGGTCTTAGCCTGATCTGTGAGTTTTCATGCTTTGCTGCTATGTCACCCTTCATCTGAAGCTTCCCAGTAGTACACTGTCTTCCATGGCTCCCCATCCCCAATAAGCTTCCCTTCCTGAATTCTCCCCTTCTTTGAAGGTCCTACTGCTCTTAGGGTTCTCTGACTTTGGTTAATAAACATATATTGAGTCCTCCTCTGTGCCTGGCTCCATACTCGGCAGTGGGGGTAGAGAGATTAGACACGGAGGGAGAGTAGTCTTTGACTCCATCTCCAGTTGTTCAGCAGGACCAGTTCTGCTTCTTTCTCTTCTTTTCTACCCCTTCCTTAGTTATAGGCCTTCCTTGCCTTCCCCAGGTTGTCACAAATGGCAAGATTTCATTCTTTTTATGGCTGAATCATATTCCATTGTGTGTGTGTTCTAATCATTCATCAATGGACTTTAGGTTGTTTCCATATCTTGGCTATTATACTGGTAAATAATGTAAATATTGCATTGAACACGGAGATGCATATACCTTTTCAAGTTAGTGTTTTGTTTTCTTTGGATAAATACCCAGAAGTGGAGTTGCTGGATCGTATGGTAATTCTATTTTCCTGTTTGACACGTCTTAAACACACACTTTCTTTACCCCTCTTGCCCTTTCTCTTGTCATTCCTTCCACCAGGAGATGCAGTGACAGTTCTGAAGGCTGCTTGTGATCCCAGTATCAGAGCAGGGGAAGAAGATGGGCCTGAATCTAGACCTTTTGCCTCTGAGAATCTTACTATCCCAGCCCATTTCAAGGCCTGTTGTGAATCACCTTGCTGGCACCACCTTAGCAGGCCTCATACTTCTTTTACTGTAGTTGAGTGGGACACTGCAATTTGCATAATGCTGTCCAGCCTTACTACACACAGGACTCTTGGGGAAAACCTGTGAAATGCCTTTGCCCCTGGAATCACACTTATAGACTGTCCTTTGATCGAGCTGATTTCACAGGTACCTCCTCTTATCCATCATGTGTTAAATTTGACTAGCTTCTGTTTGAATGTACCCCTTCCTTGACCTTGTCCCCTACGTAGTAATGATATTATCAGAAACTAAGTAAGCCAACTATTAAGTCTGGCAGAAAAAGAATGTAACCTTGTACCTGATACAAGAACTGCCATGAAATAATGTGGTTGGACTGGTTTGTAGTTCTTCCTACATAATATGCCAAAACACAAAATACAAAGCTATCTCAGAGCAAGAAAAAACTTCTGATAAATTAGGTTTCAGATTAATACAATAATGATAAAGTGGCGATAATATACTCCTTTTATGTAAGAGCAGTGATGACCAACCTTTTTGACATCATAGCACACATAGAAAATTATATTGTTTAGCCTGATGAAAGGATCATACCTCATTCATAGCACACCAGTAGGGAATCTCTGTGTTAAAGTTTCTAAATAAAAGCATTCTTGTTGATGTCTGGCTAACTCTGACTGGCTACCCTCTTCTGCTTTTCAGCATTAAGGTTTAAATATAGTGTAATAGTTTAAAGTTTGAATTCTAAGCCAGACTATCTAGATTTAAATCCTAGCTCTGCCACCACTAGCTATGTGACCCTGGGCAAATTACTTCGTCTCCTTGTACTTTAGTTTCTTCATCTGTAAAATGTGCAAATAATGATACTTACCTCATAGAGTTGTGAAGATTACATAAGTTAGTACATGTAAAATGTGGTATTTGTAAATTGCTTAGAACATTACCTAGCATATGGTAAGCACCATATAAGCGTGTGTGTCCTATAACTACTTGTAGTAGTAGTGTTTACTTTAATTGCTGTTTTACTGCTTCAGAGAAGTAAACGTTATGGGCTCAGTCTCCCCAGGCTCCTCCTGATTGCCTCCTCCTCTGCCTCACATTTCTTAGTCTTGGGCTGTTCCTTAAGAGTGTCCATCCCCCTTACTTTCATTGCCTCAGTTTCATTTTCTCAGTTTCCATTTGCTTGGGGGCCCTCAGCCAGCTGACTGAGAAAACTGCTGAATTGATCATTATACTCATCAGCTTGCTCTCACTGCTATTCCTTCTCTAGAATTCTCTGTGCCTTTCTAGAGAAGGAAGTAAATCTTAAAGAATGTGAAGAGGAGTGAATCCTAGATCTTGAAAAGAACTCTAGAGTGGTTGGGAGAGGAGCATGAGCTGAGTTAGCCGAACTGTTAGCCAGCAAAGTCTCTTTTTTGGTGGGAAAATGATCACCTGATATCACATTCCAGATGTAGGAGCTGGTCAGTTCTCTATAGGCTCTGCCAAAATATGGAGCAGACCTGGTGACTTTGGGGGCATTGTGGCTCATAAGACTTCATAGAGAAATGACAGTTCTTTCAGAAGGTGGGCCTTAGGGTTAGCTTTGGGGAGAACAGTGGGCCAGTACTTTCATGTCAGGAACACCTTTTGCCTTTCTAGTCCCACTGGGTAAGACTCTTCATCTGCTCTGTGAGTTCTCTGGGCTCTCCCTGTGCAGGAACCAGGTTGGTTGTTGGATCTGTATCTTTAACAGCTATTACCATAGGAGTACAATCAATACTTGTTGACTAACAGATTTTACAAAGAGGGGAGAACTTGCTTTACTACTCTTATTTTTTAAATATATTTTTATTGATTTCAGAGTGGAAGGGGGAGATAGAAACATCAATGATGAGAGAGAATCATTGATTTGCTGCCTCCTGCACACGCCCTACTGGGGATCGAGCCTGCAACTCAGGCATGTGCCCTGAATGGAATCGAACCATGACCTGGTTCATAGGTTGATGCTCAACCACTGAGCCACACCGGCTGGGCCCTACTCTTTTTTTAATGGAGAAAACAAGATAAACTTACGTCTAGGACTAGACACATTCATTATGATTGACGATGATGATAATATTATGATGGTGAGACTGCACATGCTCTGCCTCTGCTCACTCCTTTGGCTGATTTGCCATCACTCCCCCACATACCCTCTGCTCCAGCACTAATCGGCCATGCTGCCTCTCCTTCAGGCCTTAGCATGTGCTCTTCCTCTGTCTCTCTCTCCAGCCCCCGTCTTGGCCAGTTCCCACTCCTCCTTCAGGTGCCAGCTTAGCTGTCCCTTCCTGTAGTTACCAGACTGAGTTAGATGCCTCTCTTCTGCTCCACAGCACTTGGTACTCCCTGTCACAGCACTTGTCCCACTGTATTGAAATTGTTTTACATGTCAGTGGATTTAAATTCCATAAGGGCAGAGACTGTGTCTTCTCTTGTGTTCTCACTGTCTAGCACTGGACAGTTAGTAGGTGCTTAATAAATGCAGTATGTGTGTAATAGGTCCTTATTTGATCCTCATAACAGCCTCGTGATATAAGCAGCCTAGGCCTTACTGTGACCTCATTTTGTTTATGAAGATGCTGGTAGTCAGAGAAGCTAAGCAACTTGTCAAAGCTCATGCAGAGAGCTAGAATTTAACCTGGTGTCTCTCAGGCTTGAATGTTCAGTGCATTGTTTTGTTTTTACAATATTTTTTCTTTTAAAAAATAGCACTTAAAAAGATAAGAATTGAAGTAGCATTTGTTGTTTGTCAAGATTATAAAAATATCTTCAGGTTGGCACCAATATTCCTGAAATGTTTTTTCTTCACCAAATGTTGAATTTCAATACAGAGAAATCTAGGTATGATTTTTTAAAAATGTATAATCAGATTCAAAATTTCAATGTGCATTGGAGGAAATTTGTGTCTTTTGTTGAAAAATAAAATGTGACTGAGATAATAATAGCATAAAAAGTAGTAAATTTCATTGTATACAATTTGGAGAATACTGAAAAATATAAAGAAGAAAATAGAAATCACCCCAGCATGCAGAGAAAACTACTGTAAATTAGAAATGGACTGAACTTGAAAAGGCAGCATTGAATTTGAATCCCAGGTAAACCACTAATTACATGTTTGGCATTTGGTAGATAATTTAGCCTCTGAGTCTCAGTTTCTTCACTTGAAATATGGTGAAATATTTATCTTTTAGGGTTATTATAAGAATTAGAGATAATAATATATATAAATGCCTGGCATTGTGCCTGACACATAGTAAACACTCTTTCAAACTGTAGTAGTATTAACATTTTTGTGTAGTTCTGTATAGTCTTTCTACTCTGTTATGTGCGCATATACATGCTTGTTTGTTTTTAAATATATTTTTATTGATTTCAGAGAGGAAAAGAGTGGGAGAGAGATAGAAATATTGATGAAAGAAAATCATTGATTGGCTGCCTCCTGCACGCCTCCTACTGGGGATTGAGCCCACAACCTGGGCATGTGCCCTGACCCAAATCAAACCCGGGACCCTTCAGTCTGCAGGCCGGTGCTCTATCCACTGAGACAAACAAGCTAGGGCATACACATGTTTTTTGAAGCACATTTATAGTAAGTATATTACTGGATTTTCACATGGGGTTGCTGGAAAAGGCGGGCATTATTTTTAAACTTATCCTGTAGATGAGGAAACTGAGACTCTAAGAGGTGAAGTAACTTGGCCTTGGTACTATGTCTGGTACTATCTGAATCAGGACTCAGTTTGTTCTCCTGATGCCAAGCCCATGTGCCTTCCCTATCAGCAGTGTGCTTTCTTTCCAGCTCCACTTCCACCAATATACAAATGTGGACCACCGAGCCCTGCCCAAGATGAAGGCAAGGGCAGGAGGCGGTGGAAGTGCTGGGAGCCTCCACACCAGCTGGTTCAGTCTGAAAACAAAAGAAGTGCTCACTTCCTTCTCTGAAGTAACAGGCACATTGCCCAGTCCTGTAGAAAGGGCTAGAAAGTTAAAAACCTTTTGAGTTTCACAGTACTCTTTTTGAGAAGAAGTTTATCAGAGAATTCATAAAACTGTGTTGTCTGAAAGGCAAACATGTACCCAAATTTCTTTCAGTATGTACACTCCTACTTAAAGGGCCTGGGTAACATGCACTATACCTAACACCTCATATATGCATCATTTTATATCATTTTCATTTCAGTGCATGTTCTCTGATGGCTGGTGTACTAGTATGTCTGACTTATGGAGATGCAGAGGTGAACAGGTGGCAGTCCTGACCTTTAGGAACTTTGGGGAGCTCTCAAGGCCACATAAAATCAGTGCTCTAATAGTTTCCAGCAGGGTTGGGGAGCAGAGAATGGAGCTTTAACGTCTAGTTCAGCGCAGTAATCCCATCTATTTGCATAGGGCCTAACAGAGTTTGCACAGACCTTAACTCATTCAAAGGGATAGAGAATTTTGAGATGGGTTTTAATAGCTGAGAAGAATCCTTAGGCCAGTGGTCGGCAAACTGCGGCTCGCGAGCCACATGCGGTTCTTTGGCCCCTTGAGTGTGGCCACGAAGTTTCAATCGCACTGTACGTGCGCACCTGCACGTGGTATTTTGTGGAAGAGCCACACTCAAGGGGCCGCAGTTTGCCGACCACTGCCTTAGGCCAAGGGAAGGAGGTGAGCCAAGGATCTGCTTGGTTGGGGAATCTTGCCCTCTGAAGAAGCTTTTTCAAATGATTGCATGCATGTTAAATAAGGCCCCACAGGCCCCACTGTCGGTGATAAAATAGACTATACACAGGCTCCAGAGAGGAAACTATCAACTCCTTGGTAAGATTATGACACCTCTCCCTTCCCCGTTCCTTCAGTGTAAACAGGGAAGTTAAGCATATTTTTTCACTTCACTGTCTTCCTACATTTTTTTCTTCCTAGTTTTAAAAACAACTCTCCTTCAACAAGGTCTGTTTCCAAGGAAAGTCTTAACCATTTGTCCCTTCTGGCATACCCTCTTCCAATGAAATCCATGCAGAATAGACCAGGTACTCTATCTTTTTGTGTGTGAAGCCATAAAATCTAATATTGAGTGTGCAGCCGTGCTCAGAGGTATGCTTCTTCCACAAGAGGCTCCCTCAGCCCTGCTGTGGTAAAAACCAAGTATAAATTGCGGCTAACAGGGTTTTCTAGCTAGAGTCGTAAGAATGTTTGAGCATCCCCTGTGAATTATAATGCCACCAGCCCTCTGGCTCCTCCTCTACATTGCCTGCCTGTCGGCTGTTTTGCTTGTCCTTGGGCCTTCCATCAGAGTGTGGGCAAGGGAAGGAGAAAGAGAAGTGAATCTAAAATCTGTCCCGTCTGCACTTGGTTTGCAGTGCTGGTGAGAAAATAAATGGGGACCAGGGTTGATGTTGGACTGCACACAGAGGAAGAGGAAGAGGGACAGTGGTCCCTCCTCAGCCTATTGTCACAGTGGTCAGTGCCCCCTCCCCGAGCACCTGAAGATGAGTGAGCCTGTGTTTTATTTCTGTAGAATGTCTCACTATATTGAGCAGCTCTTTTCTTTTTAATATACCTTGGTCAGGGTGGATATTTGGGTGCTGATATTTAAGTTTAATTTTTTTAATTCATAGCATGTTACACAAGATGAACCTTGTGCTTGAAGCTGTTGCCTAGAGTAATATTTTGAGATTCTCTATGGATTCCTTTTATCCCTGTGATTATCTCTGCTATAAAGTATAATTGAAAATCTTCTGTCATCAGATCCTAAAAGTGGGAGGAAGAATGCACCTAAATTGAGCTGTCAGACACTTGGCTGCCTAACCATGCTTTCTGGATTGTAGAGGGCTGTCGTTCTGTGTGCTTTCTCCTCATGGCTGTCATGTATTCGCTTCTGAGAACAGTGCATAGAAGACGTGCATCAGCTCTAATCAATCTTCCTGAGCCATTTCTCTGATCATGTTCAGGAGGGTCCTCTGAGAAGAGAGTGGGCCTTTTCCCTCAATGGGCAAAGATCAGCTTCCATTTCAAAATCTCTCTCTCTCAAAAAAAATCCAACAACCCAGAGCCTGTGTTTATTGAAGGTTGGTCTAAAAGGCTCTCACACCATATGCCCCATCAGCACTCGAGTGCCTCTATTTTAGAAGGATGTAAAGGTTTAATCACCCTGGTGGGGATTTAGACCCAGAGACTTCAGAGAAATCTTATTATTTCTAACTGCAGGCAAAGAGTATTAAGGCTCCACTCTGGATCAGGGGCATGACATGTTCTGTAAGTAATTTATCTTTACCAGGGGAAGGCCCTTACTAGAGTGTCTTAGAAACAGTACTACGATTGGGTACCGGCTCATTATTCCTCCTTTTCTCTTTCCCCTTCTCAGTCTCCTGCTTATTCTTTTTGTCCCTACTTTTTCCTGCCCAATCTGTCCAATGTCCAAATATCTGCCCCCAAATTTTCCCTTTAACAAGGGGCACCAGGTGCTTGCCAGGGAGAGATAATAATGCTTTTGCAATAAATGACCTCATCCAGCAACCTGGTGTAGACCTGTCAACTTCAGACTTCTGAATGGACCCTACCTGTATCCCCTCAAATAAGGAGCAGAGAGGGAAGAGTGTGCTCTGGCTCCATAGGCACTCGTCTATGCTCGTAGACATTCCTGCCCTATTGTACCTTCACAGAGGCAATCTCCACTGAAAGCCGTTGAAATCCCTGTGCACATCCACATAGGGATGTTATTAATCGTATGATTTCATTTGCATGCACTCCCTCCCAACCACACCCTCCTTCTTGTCTTTCTGGTGCTGAAGCTAGAGGATGTCACAGGTGGGATTCTGCTTATGGATTCATTGTTTTGTTTGGGGACTATAGTTTGACTGGTGGCAGATCTAAATCCATGTGCTAATGAGCTTGGTTAAAGCAGGCCTCTGCTATCCTCTTTTAATCTAGCCTGTCTGTCTGAGTTTCTTTCCACAGTTAACGATCTGCTATAATGGTTTTGCCTTTAGTTTTGCCTCCTGGGTCAAAACAAATCAATAGTCCTCACAGATATTTAAAAACCATCAGTGTAAAGCTCCTGGGTCTCTGGCCCCCCCTCCCACTGTTTTGTTTTGTTTTTGCTTCTGGGCGAACTTACAGCTTGATCAGTCCAGTGATATTTCCCTTACATCTCCACTTTTCTCCCAGAGATGGGCAGCAGTGAACCCCTTCCTATTGCAGAAAGTGACAAGAGGAAGAAGAAGAAGCGGAAGGCCCGGGCCACTGACTCCTTGCTGGGAAAGTTTGAAGGTTGGTCACACAACTCTCTTAGACCAGGGCCTGTGGCTCCCCAAGCATGGGAGGAGCTTCCCAAAAGCCCATGGGTCTAGATCACAGGATCTGTGTTATCGTAGAGTCAGCTCATGGCTATGTGTGTGATAGGGATGAAAGAAGGAGTGCAAGAGCTTACTCAAAGGAGTGACAGAAAGAGAGCGAGCAGAGATGAGAAAAGCCCCTGGATGATGCACAGGCCTCCTCCCAACGGTCAAGGGACAGGAAGACCAATCTGTCAGAGTTGTACATGCAGTGAGATTGGCTGGTGTGTTTCTGCCCCTTCCAGATGTGATCTTTCCCTCGGCTGTTCCTAGAAGGGCTGCTGAGAGGTAGAGCAACCATGTAGGAGGAGGAAGAGAGGGCCATGGCTGCAAATGAAACTTCAATCTTCTATAAGCAGAGAATTTGACTCCAAGAGATTGCAGCTACTTGTGCTGAATTTGACACCGTTTTAAGAGTGGATGTTGTGTTCAGGGGACACAGAGTGTTGGTCATCAAACATTTTGAATCCTGTGTGAGGCACCAGGCTCAATGCTCGTCCTGTTACCACTGGGCATATGATGGGATGAAGTGAATCATTGGACACTTCTGCAAAGAATTGAAAGGATCAGTAGCTACTCCTAGTAGTGACATGCCCCTTCATCTATTTTGTTTCTTTTGTGAAACCTGAAATAGCTTCCCCTCATGGTCCCTCTTTCCAATAGTGCAGATACACTAGTGAATTGATAGTTTTGTACAGTAGTTCTAGTGACCAGCCCTTTATGAGTCAGGAATATTGGACTTCCAACCACCAACCTATTCTGACATGTGTAAAAGGCTAATACCAAATGTCCATTGTGAGTAAAGCATGTTATTTAAAATACTTACAAACAACAGTGTGTATTCTTTATTTTAATTATTTATTGCATTTATTGGAGTGACATTGTTTAATAAAATTATATAGGTTCAAGTGTGCAACTCTATAATACATCATCTGTATATTGTATTGTGTTCACCATCCAAAGTCAAGTCTGTTTCCTTCACTATTTATCTCCCCTATACCATCTTATGCTTCCCCCCACCCCTTTCTCTCTTATAGTCACCATACTGTTATCTGTGTCTATGAGTTTGTTTGTTTTCTGCTTAATACCTTCACCTTTTTCACCCAGCCCCCCAACTCCCCTCCCCTCTGATAGCTGTTGGTCTGTTCTTTGTATCTATGAGTCTGTTTTTCTTTAACCCAGTCAGTAGATGTGTGTGTTTGGGGTGGAGGGGGTAAGGGGAGAAGACAAGGACAAAAGTACCATGATTTTTAGAATAATTTCCAAATCAACAGGTCTTGCTCTTTCCATGAATTTAAGAGTAGTTCCTGTTATTCAAGGATGGCTTGTGCAATTATAGGGCTTCTCATGACTCAGAGTGATAAAACCTAATTTCATGGTTAAAAAGTATTCTGCTCAGTCTGTGGGTTTAAGTGCTTGGCTGCCTCAAGAGGAAGAAGCCAAAGAATAGAGGCGAAGGGAGAAGGAGGCCAGCTCAGCAGAGACTATGATGGAGCTGTAGCTTCCTTTGGAAGGGCTCAAAGAGCTTGTGCTATTTGTGAGCTTGGGCAGGCCACCTAAATGTTCTTTCAACCCAAGCCTATTACTCTGTGAGAACCGCTCTGACTCAGCACCCTAAAAACCTCGAGGCTTCCGTTTACATTTATGTCTGTCTCCTGTTTCCTGTGGGTGACTTCTGGAAACTTCTCAAAAACCTCCAGAGAGGATCCTTTGTGTGTGGTATAAAATAAAACAAGGTTTTATTCCCCTTTGTATCACCAATGCCTAGCACAGAGCTGGGCACACAGTAGATGCTCAGCAAATGAGTAAGTGAATGCATGATGTCCATTCAAATTACACCCCTCTATGAGGATCCCCCAGATTCTCTGAACAGATAGATATAACCTTTCCCTTTCCTGGCTCCTTTTTACTATGTCTTGTCCTCTCTCTGATAGTATTTCCCACTGTCTGGTTTATTCTGGGGTCATTTGTGTATGTGTCTGTCTTCCCCCATTGAATTGTGATTCTCAAAGAGCAGGGACTATATTTTATTCCTTGCTTTGTCCCTGTTGTGAATCTAATATGCTGTCTGATACATAGTAGGTGCTCGGGAAATATGTGTGCGAATAGAAACCCTTCCACTGACCTCATCTCTAAAATGGGGAACAAGATGTCTTCTCTGTGATCTAGTTGTTGAGAAACTGAGTCCTGAAATGGCCAGGAAAGCTAATGGTCTTCCTCGTCACCACACTGGGGAGTCACCGTGTGCCTGTGTTGTCAGACCAAGGAAGCTGAGTAACAGAAGCTCTTCTTTCCATCTTAACTTGCAAAGGGTGACTCATCCTGTTATTTCTCTCATCCATTTCATCTCTAGATGTGTACAAGCTGACCTCTGAATTGCTTGGAGAGGGAGCCTATGCCAAAGTTCAAGGAGCTGTGAGCCTGCAGAATGGCCAAGAGTATGCTGTCAAAGTGAGTGTCTCATCTGGATATCTGGCTTTACTTTGTACATAGTCCTAAACCAAATAAATTTCATATTCCCCAGTGTGGTGGCTCAGTAAGATTTGGGGCTCCAAAGCTATATTTGCTGAATTCAAATGTTGGTTTCTCTACTTGCTGTGTGCCATTAGGCAAGTTACTTAGCCTATATGTCCTTCAGTTTCCTCATCTGTAAAATAGATGTAATAATAGAACCTATATATTATTTTTTGTGACGATTAAAGAAGTTAATATGTGCAAAGGGCTTGAAACAATGCCTGGCTCATAGTGTTAATGCTTCTTACTAATCTGACAAATGAAATTAGCTTCAGGGAGTAAACAAACAGATTTGGAATGAGACAACCCACCTGAATCTCTTTTGACAAACTACTACTATTTGACTTTGGTAAAGTCACTGAAAATCCTTGAACCTCAGTCCCCACATCTCCAAAATGAAGATATTAATACCTTTCTGTCTCATGGATTGGTTATGAAGATGTAAATAAAAATGAACTGGTATCAGTAGAAACATTTTACAAATGACAGAATGCTCTACAAGTGATGTAGAGTATCATGATCACGAGGACGAAGCACTGAGCTGTGGGACAGGAGAGGTGGCTTCTAGCTGTGTGATCTTGGAATGGCTCACTTCACCCCTCTGTGCTTTCATGTGCTGACCTCATATGGAAAAAGAGATGGATTGAGAGCAGTGGTTCTCAAAGACCCTGCATCAGGGTCTTTGTATTTTTACCAAGTTTCCAAGTGATTCTAATATCCACCAAAGTTGGAGATCACTGATCTAGAAACAGGTCTTATTGATTCTAAGGGGGCAATTCAGACTTATTTCAAATCATCCACCTGAGCCACCGGGTCTAAGCACTGCCTCATATGGGCAGACTCAGCCAAATTGACTCCTGGAAGAAGTGTGTTTTTTAACCAATCTGCTATAGTCCCAGCTGTGGATTTATTAAGGGGAAAACTTCTGCTAAGCCATGTTCCTTTTTGCTGGAGTATTGTTTCATATGGTAACAAAAGTACTGCCTCAATTCCTTTTTGGAAACTGATCAGTATAAATTACAAGTAATTTTATTTAAAAAATATGCCTTAAGTGTGGTAAAAACTGCAAATGTCAATTGATTTTCAAATGTCTGAATACATTTATGGATGACAGACCTATTTCTTCAAAATTGGCTCACAAGAGGAAAACCAGGCCCTTCCTCCATGTCCCCTGGCATCTTTGGGCAAAGATGGACCCTGGCTTGGCAATTCTTGGATTTCAGCAGTTCTGCCCATGTCTCTCGTGTTCCTTGAAAACTCCCTAGAGATGGGCTGCTTCTCCCCACATGGCTGCACAATATTTGGTTTTATTAGGGCTTTCCCTATAAGCATCCAACTGATAAACACTAGAGTCTCAGGGTGGGAGTGAAATTTCAAGATAATCTAGTCTGAATATCCTCTATAACTCCTCAGATAGTTGTACCATGTTCTGCTCCCCCATCTCTAGCATTAGGAGTGCATTACCTCCTCAGAAAAAATTATGCCATTGCTAGATAGCTTGCCTGCTCAAAAGTTCTTCCTGACTTTGATCTGAAATATTTGGTGAACGAACGAGCTGAGTAGCTTCTGTGCCCCAGCACTACGTACACCTCTCTGTGCAGAAAACGGGCCCAGAGGTTTACTAACAGACATGGACTTATTTAGAAAATTGCATTGGTCATGGATGTGTGTGCTACAACATATTGGAGAAGTTTGCAGTGTTCTACACAGCATCCTTGGAGTGAAGGAACAGGATGTCATCATCTGCTGCCTGCTCATCTGGGACTGTGAAGCAGAGCCAGCTCTGCAGAGCAGCAGTTTGGGACTCTGGGTGGGTCCGAAGACATGTTCAGAGTCAGCCACTCCCTGTGCAAACTACCTGCTCATCTGTTGGCTCACCCATTCCTTCAGTCAGTACTTGCCAAGCATCTCCAAATACAGGTGGGGAGGGGGAGCATCCCACAGTACCATAGGAGAGATAAGGCCTCCGGGTTGTACTGAGAGAAGATGTGTAGGATACAGGCCAGTATAGGATAGCAAGGGCTTCGGAGGCAGCTCTAGGCTTGAATTCCAGCCCTGCCACCTATCAGAGCTGTGGGCAAAATGTTTTACCTCTTTCTATCTTTTGGGATTTGTTGTAAGGGTTAAGAGATTATGTACCTAAATGACTTAATACAGTGCCTGCCAAAGGGTAAATTCTCGGATGAACTGCAGAGGTGGCATTGACCTGGGCCCTTCATTGCCCCTTGCTCTTCCTCCAGCACTAGGAGATCCTTCATTAGAGCTTATAAATTCTTACCCGAAAGGCAAAAAGAGATAGCCTTAGAATAAGAACTGGATAGAGGTAGCTCTTTGTCTTGCTGGCTGCTTCAGTCTCCCCTGGGCAGCTGGGGACAGCCCTCAGAGGCTTCCGTGGAGTTGTGCTTGGCCAGAGTCACACAGCCCAGCCAGGCTGGAAAGCCCTCGGGCCCGTCTGCAGCTTTGCCGACAGAGCCACAGGGCCTATGTCACCAAGTCCTACTCCAGACTTGTGCTTGTAACTGACTTGGGCTAAATTTGGCCGTTTGTTCTGCCAGAGGGCTCCTGCTGAGGGGTGTTTTGAGTTTAGGTGGGAATATTTGACAGATGTTGTTCTTCCCATAGATCATCGAAAAACAAGCAGGGCACAGTCGGAGTAGGGTATTTCGAGAGGTGGAGACGCTATATCAGTGTCAAGGAAACAAGTGAGTATAGTGTTGGGCTAGTTGCTGCTTCTCTGGGGGGATGCGTGGCCGCAGAAAAAGGTTCTTTCTTACCATCTCCTGACCTGAGCTCTCACTCCTTCCCCCACAACTGCATATAACTCCTTGTCTTCTAATGTTTAGAAAAAATGGAGAGGAGAAATAACAGCAGCAAAGAAGCTATCTCCTATTTAGGCTGAAATACTATAAATATCAGCAGTTCAGGCCCATTAGATGAGTGAGCAATCTGAATGAGTGCCCGGGACAAAAATCGGGTTTTATTTCTTTCAAGTGCCTGTGGAAACTAGGCTGCCTGAGTGTTGCCTAGTGGAAACTTTTAGGAACCTGCTGTGATTAATGGATGAGGATGATGAGAACTATTAAGAATATTTGCTGCTGTTTTCTGTTCCTATGATAGTTACATATGTGCAGCTACTACTGAGGGTCGTGAGACCTGGTCTAACCTCTGTGCTTGACAGCTGGGCCAAGGTGCTCTCCAGCCCTGTCTGAGCCTGCTCACCACCAGCTCCAAATGAGTGGCTCTCCCGCTGTGGCTTTAAATCAGGGTCACCTCTAAGACTTCGCTTTCCCCTTTCTTTCTCTCCATGGTAGGGTCAGCAGGGAGCCAGTGGCCCGATATTGATGGCTTTGTCATTAAGCTTGGAGGATGGGGGCTGCTGTTGATTTAACTCCAGGCACTGCCTCTACAATCTTCTTTCAAATTAGGCCATTTTGGCCATCTTATTTGGACGCCTTCGCACTAGTAAAAGCCTGGTGTCTCCCAAAGTGGTCAGCATTTTTTTATGAGGGACAGATTTTCATTTTCAGCCTGCAGCTTCTGAGTTCAGCATTAGAGACTCTACTTGGTTTATTTCGTTCTTTAAAAGAAAAAAAGCCCCAACACCTTCGATATCCAGGCTGGTGGCTTCCCTACTGAGTTACAAGACGACCTTGTTGGCGGAGCACGGTAATGCTCAGGCAGACAGGAGTGCTCACCGGGGAAGGCCACAAGTGCTACGGTGGCCGGGAACACGGTGTTTCATTAAGCAGCGCTTAGCAGTTAGGGTCTAGCGGTGCCTACGTTAGGCCCCAAGTCTATTTGACAGATGTTTCCATTTTCTCCAGGCAATGTAAATACTGCCCCGTGATTTATGGGCAAGAGGGAGGGCAAGTAATTATTTGCTGCTTGCCTCCAGGACACACACCTACTATTCAGTGTTATTAGCCGCAATTGCTTCCAGTCGGCTGCAGATTTTATTCAGTTTAATGTGACCAGGACTTTTTTATAACTCTACCTAGTGGGTTTTAGGGTTGGGGTTTGACAGCACAGACTTGGTGAAAACACCAGAGACTAAACATTATGGAAAGATAAGGTGACCTGAATCTTGCTAACACCATTGGCTGCTTCTCAAACATGGGTCTTTAATAAGCATTCTGATTTCAAGTTGATTTCTGCCCTGTTACAGGGCGTTGTATATTTTTTTTCATTGTATATTTGTAAAATGGGCTTTAATATATAATACCATTTTTCCTTTTTTCCCTTTCCTCCTATTTTTCCCTATTTAAGGAACATTTTGGAGCTGATTGAATTCTTTGAAGATGACACAAGGTTTTACTTGGTCTTTGAGAAATTGCAAGGAGGTACTTACTGTTGAGTATGTGTTTGGACTTCTGATTAAGACCCAGGGTGGTGATCATCCATCATGAATCCCAGAGACTTCTAAAACGAGTCAAGCTAATAAAAAGGATGAAGGACTTAAAACTGCCCTTGATTTGGGAGAAGGGAGGCCGGAGGGAAGGATGATAATTAGCATTTTGCAGAGCTTAGAATGTCACCTGTGTGGGCATTCTATAAATGCCTTCTCATTATAATGGGGCTCATAAATAGATACATGTAGTCATCAATTTATCAATCCATGTTTTGACACATTCACTCTTTAACAATTAATTGTGGGTGGGAGCTCCTACATACATTGTGAAGTCCAGAAAGGCTCACCAGGGGAGAGGAGGGTCCCATTGTTTAGGATACAGACCCAGGATAGAGAAGAGGCCTGAGAATGTGCCAACCTTCAGTTAGAATGATGCCATTCTTGACCATCACCACTACTACCATCACCTACACACACAATCACCAGGATGCTTGCTGAAGTTGCTTTTCTGACAAAGAGAAGGAGATAGAGAAGCACTTGTCCTCCCCATCACTCACCCAACCCTAGAGCACATTTGCAAGGTGAAGGTTAGGGAGGATGTCTGAGTGGAGGACTATAATGGTTAAAAGACCATGCTTTAGAAACCAGCAAAGCTAAGTTTTAGTCTAGCTCCATCACTTACCTTGGGCAAGTCACTTAACCTTTCCAAACAGTATTCTTTCATCCATAAAATAGGGATAATGACAGCACCTACCTCCTTGGGATGCTGTGAAGATTAAATGAGATGATTCATGTGAAATGCTTAGCTCAGTGCCTGGTAGGCACTAAGGGTTTAATAATTATCAGCAGTTAATATTATTAAAACAACTGGCTACAATGGGGACTCGCTGAGAAGTGTGTTACACTCCACCTTCCTTTTTAACAAGTTTGGAAACAAGAGACTCACTGCAGCAAGGCAAACCTGAGATCTAGCCAGGAGCTGGTTTTCTTGGAATGTTTCCTAACATGTTGAGATCCCTTGATTGTTTCATCTGGCAAGTGAAAGATCTTTAATCTCATGTCCGTGCCAAAGCCAGAATAAGTAAACATGTACCACTTTTAGGATGACACCTTCAATCCAGAAATACTGGCTTCCAGTAGCAAGCATAGACCACATTGGAGCCAAGCCATATATATGCTAGTGCCTGTGCCTGCCCTGTCCTTCCCAACAGCACCAGGACTTTGAATTACATGTTTTAATACTCGATGCCGCTGGGTCATCTGTACATATCACTCAGAGAGCAACTATACTGAAGCCAGACCCAATGGGTAAAGAGTGTGATTGGCTCAGGGCAACTCATCTGCCCAGCATTTGGGCCATAGGTCTTCCTGAGGGGAAGTCTGCACAGGTTCTGAGGCCCAACTTACTGGGCTTAAGTCCTGATGCCACCACTTACTGGTGTATGATCTGGAACAAATTGCTTAACCATTCTTGTCTTTGGGTTCCCTATCTATAAAATGGGAATAACTGTATTTTATACATTTTGTACAGTTGTGGTGAGGCTAAGATAATCTATTTAAAGAGCATTACACAGTGCTTGGCACATAGCAACTACTCAATAAATGTTAGCCAACAAAATTTACTTGGTCTTTGAGAAATTGCAAGGAGGTACTTTACTGTTGAGTATATGTTTGGACTTCTAATTAAGGCCCGAGGTGATGATCATCCATCATGAAACTCAGACTTCTCAAGTTGCCAACAAAATAATAATAATAATAATAGTAATAAGGAAAGTTCAGGGGAAAGCAGTTTTTTTCTCTTTTTAAAAAATCTTTGCATATCTGGTGAGGGTGTGGCATTTCTGTTTGTAGGCTATGCTCACATTTGGATCTAAAGTCAGAGGCAAAGGAGGAAAAATTCCTACAGAAAGGCCCCCTATCCCAGGTGGATTCACTTGTAGTTCTCTTTTATTCCAGAAGCCAAATGGCATTTACATATTTTGGTCATTTAAATAGTTGTTCTCACTCCCTTCTACTCATCATAGACAGTACAGAGGTCAGCAGTTCCGTTCTATTCAGTACAGTTTTGTGCTAGTACCTCCTCTGTGCCAGGAACCACACTTGGTGCTGGACATTCAGCAATGAATAAGCCTATGTCCCCCACCCAAACCCGTGGACACTTGGCCTCTGACAAGTTATACTCAGTGAAGCCTGAAAAGGCATTTCCCTATGTTCCTCTGCTTCCCAGGCTCCATCCTGGCCCACATCCAGAAGCGGAAGCACTTCAACGAGCGAGAGGCCAGCCGTGTGGTACAGGATGTGGCTGCTGCCCTTGACTTCCTGCACACCAAAGGTAAGCCGAGCCTTTGCCTTGGTGGTGGGTTGGGCTAGCCAGTCTCTGGGGACCAAGGGAGCAAGACAGGCCAGGCAGAGGGGCTGGGCCAAGAGCTGGTGCAGCTGGCAGGCCTGCCCATGAGGGTGAGGGGGAAACCAGGGTGCCTCCAGACTTCTGATGTGGATGGTGGATAGATGAGGACCTGTTCGGAATGATAAGGATTATAGAAGAAAGAGCAGGGAAGAGAACAATAAAATCCATGTTGAATAAGGTGTATGTGGGTGTGTGGATGTGGATGATTGTCTTTCCCTTTTCTAATGAAGAAGGCAAACCATGCATCATACAACCTCTCTAGTATAAATATGTGGGTGTTATTCCTTCCAGCCTTATAAAAAACACCACCTATATTGGTATGATAGTATATATGTAGTTTTATATCTTGTTCACAATAAATGGAAAGTGCGTTTTTCTATTAACATGGTAAGTTCAAGGTATCTGTCGAACCTCACAATGGTAAAAGGCAGAGTTGCTAGTGTTTGAATTACACTTTGGTTTACAATACTTATTTAGGACTGATTATTTAAGAATTTTTTTTTTGTAAATTAAATGTTTTTGCAAATTGGGTGTTTTTGTCCATTTCCATAAATATGTTTAATTATAGCATACATTTTTTAATTTGCCAAACAGCAGTGCCATGGAAATAATGATCTGGCTTTACCTTTTTACCAGCTAGAATACTGCCTACCCCACAGAGTTATGGAGAGAATTGTATCACCAACAGTAGTTAACACTTAGATAGCACTTGTTATGTGCTGGGCACTATTCTAATCCTTTCATCTGTACTTACATAATTGAGTGTGTCCTATGTGTGTGGACACATACAATATGGAGCATAGTACCTGGCACATAGTACATGGTTCTTCAATAATGTTATTTCCTCCATCCTTGTCCCCCACCTGGCATAAAGCATTTTTATTCCTAATATTCCCTTAAAGCATTCTACCTGACGGGAATAATGTGTGACTTCACTCTGCTCCCTTCACTTTTGTGGATGTGGGCCCCTTGGTTGTGAGTACACAGGACCACTGTAGGCATCCTGCTCACGCACAATGCAGCTGGTGTGGCCTGGTGGGGAGGTTCTGGTTCCTTGATTCTACCCCACTTCTTCCAGTGGCTGGAGAGAGATCTGCACCCAGGCCACACCATGTTGGGGGCCTGACTTGTACATGGGATGAAATTTCCTAGAAGGAGGGGTCTGTGCTTTCCGCAGCATGATGGATGGCAGTGGTTCTGTTTCTGAAAGCTGGGATGCATGTAGGTAACACCTGCCTGACAAAGATTTACAACTGCTCCCCAAGCTGCCTCCATAGATTGCAAAACTGGGTCACGCTTTTTACAAGATCCATACCTTAGAGGGGAGTAAAGGGGGTTTTGTTTTTTATTTATTTATTTATTTTCAAGAATGCACTAAAGGGAACAGAGGCTGGTGGTGTCTGAGGAGTTCTGAAATGCTTGTTAGCATCTAGCTGGGCAGCTGCCTATGTGCCTAGAAGTTGGAGGGGATGAAAAACGATTTCCAGCTGAACTTGGCTGTTTTCTAAATAACTTCACACCGGGAAGATGAATTGAGCAAGAATGGGTCAGCCCGGAAACAAGTTCCATACTCTTAAATACTGGACACACTGCAGCTTAACCTCTGGGAAATGAACCGGAGTAGCTGGATGGCTGGTACGCTCATAGAGGCAGGCCTATTATTACACAGGGCCCTCAGTTCTCAGGCTGGGGAACGCCTCGGCCATCAGCACCTATTTGGGGAGCAAGGCTCCATGTGTGGCTCATGATCCTTCTGTGGGAGCACTTGCTGTAATGGAAAATATCTTTCACTTTTAGTGCGGAGAGCTGCAGCCCGACTCAATTTGTGCAGCCTGGACTGAGTTGCTCTGGGTTCTCATTCAATTAGGTGACTGATGAAGTCATTGAGCCTGCTGGAGCTCAGGTTTTTCCTTTAGTGAAGAGCCTCCGGTGGGCTGGGCCTCTGTCACCTGCCAGGGAGTCGTAGGGCTGCCTGAGAGATGGATCACCCAGGGAGTTTTAGTAAAGCCGGCTCTGCTTTTTCCTGTTACCCAAGAATCCTCTGCTGCTCTCCAGTCCTTCCAAGCAGTAGCTGTTTGGCATTTGCTCAGCCTTGCAGCCCTTCTGTCTCTGCCTCATACATTCTGCAGGAGGAAAGACGAAGGGAGTTTCTGGGTCTACCACTAGAATTCCATAGCCCTGCGAGTGGTCTTTGTCCCTGTCTTTGGTTACAAGGTGGTTTTCCCCCAGGTGCCTTCATGGCCCAGTCAATAGGTTTTAACCCAGGGGTGGGCAAACTTTTTGACTCGAGGGCCACAATGGGTTCTTAAACTGGACCGGAGGGCCGGAACAAAAGCATGGATGGAGTGTTTGTGTGAACTAATATAAATTCAAAGTAAACATCATTACATAAAAGGGTACGGTCTTTTTTTTTTTTTGGTTTTATTCATTTCAAACTGGCCGGATCCGGGCCGTAGTTTGCCCACGGCTGTTTTAACCCCTCATGTGCTCAGCTACTATCTGCAGTCTCCTTCAGGAGGGCTGGCCAAAACGCAGGGGGAAGAGGGCTTATCTGAAGAACACCCATGGGCCCAAGCAGTCTCTGCTGTGCTCTGGCAGGACTGTCTCGGATATGCGGAGCAGGAGAGAAGGGAATCGGGGAAGCTTTGGGAGATTGTTCACTAACATGCGATCCTCTGAACATGAAGGAAGTCCCACTGACGGGATCTTTTTTTAATCGGCCACACAAGAAGAAATGAGGTAGAGCAGTCCCAGCCCCCTGAGATGCTCTTAAACAAGGCACTCATTATTTCAGCATAGCTGTTCCAAACATGGCTGTTTGCAGAGCTCTTTGCTCTGCTTCGTGTTAGGCTTCTTATTCTTGGTTGTCCCCACAGTGCTGAGAGGTAGGCTGGCTGGGATTCATTTAGCCCTTCTCATCCTGCCAGACTCCTAAAGCTTCTGCTTCAAACCGACTTGCAGATTCAACGGTGCTTTTGGTTTGTCTCTGGTTACTTCTGCCTCCTGCAGCTCGTTGACTTTTTAATGTACCATAATTGGGAATTAATCTGCGAACAACAGCATTTGGAAAAAATTAATTGTGTGTGGAATGTTTGATAATTATGTGCATATGTTAACTATTTCCTTGCTCTTTGTCATTTCAGGCATTGCTCACCGAGATCTGAAGCCAGAAAATATATTGTGTGAATCTGCAGAAAAGGTACTTAGGATGTTACAGTGTTTGCACTGATGCGGGGAAGCCACCTTGCTTTCAATATAGGTTGTTAGCAGTTTCCAGGGTTAATCCTTGTCCCGTCTTTGCTGTTTCAGCAGTGTGATTGGCTTAATCCTGAGAGTTTGTAAAATATAGGAGACCCACACAAAATGAATGTTTTCTAGTCCAGTGCACATACCTTTCGAGCAGTTGATGGGAGTCATAAACAACAACTTAATCTTACATGAAGCAAATCTCTGCCTATAAATGATGTTTCTATCATGGTATATATGTCACTAGAGGTGATAATTAGGAAGCAGGTTCTTGAAATGAGTTTCTGTTTCTTTTTTTGTTGCCCATTAGAAAGTAAACATTTATACTTGGTGTTGAACAAATACCATCTATTTTAAACTTTCCCTCAACTCAATCTACAAGTGTTTGCATTTCCATCAGCACATATGAATGTGACAGATTCTGTGTTTGGTAGGAAGGGTTTAGGCCCTGGTGGTTTTGATGGCTCACATTCATAGTTCTGTGTGTGTATACATGTGTGTATGCATGAACACGTGTGTCTTGGTCTGAATTAAGGGATAGCTCATGCATGAGGAATGGCTTTGAGTGAATATGTGAGTCAACTTAGTACTTACAACTCTTGTGGGGAATAGTAATGTTTTAGCTCCAATATGATCTTGTGCCTTCCTGTCAATGACTCTGGCATTAAACTATATAATTTATCATTATTATCATTATGATTATTAACTAGAGGCCTGGTGCACAAAAATTTGTGCACTCGGGAAGGTCCCTCAGCCCGGCCTGTGCCCTCTCTCAGTCTAGGACCCCTTGAGGAATGACCACCTGCTGGCTTAGGCCCGCTCCCCAGGGGATTGGGCCTAACCTGGCAGTCAGACATCCCTCTGGCAGCACGGGAGCCCTTGGGGGATATCCACTTGCCAGTGGGGAGCAGGCCTAAGCTGCAGTTGGACATCCTTAGCGCTACTTTAGGATGTACTGGCAGCCATCAGCCTGGCTTGTGGCTAAGCAGAGCTCCCCCTGTGGGAGCACACTGACCACCAGGGGGCAGCTACTGCATTGAGCGTCTGCCCCCTGGTGGTCAGTGTGTGTCATAGTGACCAGTGATTCCCAGTCCCTCTGCTGTTAGGGTCAATTTGCATATTACCCTTTTATTATATAGGATAATTATTATAGTCAACATTTGTAGTGCTTACAGTATGCCAGCACTGTGTGGATGTACTAAAATTTTATAACTATTTAGTATTTATAAAATCTCATGAGATAGATACTATTATTATCTTCATTTTATGAATGAGGAAACTGAAACTTGCCCAAAGTCACTCAGCTGATGAGTAGTAGACTATAGATTAAAACTCAGGTAGCCTGACCCAGACTCCATGAGTGCTCTGAACTACTCTGTTCATGCTCTTTGTTTCATTTGATCTTCATGGCATGGATTTGTTGCCCTTTTATTATGATTGAAAAATTAAAATTAAGAGAGACATGATGAAGAAAATTTAAAAAGGGTAAAGGGGCCCTGGCTGGTGGCTAAGTGGTTAGAGCATTGGCCCACATATCAAAGAGTTGCAGTCAAGGGCACATAGTACCTGGGTTGCAGGTTTAATTCCTGGCCCCGTTGGGGCGCATGCAGGAGGTAACCAATGATATGTTTTTCTTTCCCTCTTTCTCCCCCTCCCTTCCACTCTCGCTAAAAATCAATGGAAAAATATTCTCGGGTGAGGATTAACAAAAAAAAAAGGAAGGGATTAAAAGGAGACTTGACTTGATTAGTGAACACACAATACAACATACAGATGATATATAGAATTGTATACTTGGAACTTATATAGTTTTATTAACCAATGTTACCCCCATAAATTCAATAAAAATTTTAAAAAATAAAAATAAAAGGATAACCCACAGAATAAGAGAAAAAAATTGTAAGTCATATACCTGATAAGGGTTTAATATCCAAAATATATAAAGAATTTCTAGCCCTGACCAGTTTGGCTCAATGGACAGAGCATCAGCCTGCGGACTCAAGGGTCCCAGGTTTGATTCAGGTCAAGGGCATGTACCTTGGTTGCAGGCACATTCCCAGTGGAGGGTGTTCGAGAGGCAGCTGATCAATGTTTCTCTCTCATCAATGTTTCTAACTCTCTATCCTTCTCCCTTCCTCTCTGTAAAAAACCGGTGAAATATATTTAAAAAAAAAAAAGAATTTCTAACATCAAGAAGACAATCCAATTAAAAAATGGGCAAAAGACCTGAATAGACATTTTTCCAAAGAAGATATACAAATGGAAATAAGTACATGAAAAGATACTCAACATCCTTAGTCATTAGGGAAATGCAATGAGATGCCACCTCACAACCTACCAGGATGGTTATAATTAAAAAAATGGAAAATAACAAGTGTTGATAAGGATGTGGAGAAATTGGAACCCTTGTATATTGCTGGTAGGAATGTAAAGTGGTGCAGCCACTGTGGAAAACAGTTTGGCAATTTCTTAAAAAGCTAAATATAGGATTACCATACCACTCAGCAATTTTACATCTATGTTTATACCCCAAAGAATTGAAAACAGCCCGGCCAGCATGGGTCAATGGTTGAGCATTGACCTATGAACCAGGAGGTCACAGTTCGATAGTTCGATTCCCAGTAAGGGCACATGCCGGGGTTGTGGGCTTGATCCTCACTGGGGGGTTGCAGGAGGCAGCTGATCGATGATTCTCTCTCATCATTGATGTTTCTCTCTCTCTTTCTCTCTCTCGCTCTCTCTCTCTCTCTCTTTCTCTCCCTCTCTGAAATCAATAAAAATATATGTTTTTAAAAAGAATTGAAAACAGAGAGTTGAACTTGAACACCAGTGTTTGTTGCAGCATTATTCACAATAGCCAAAACGTGGAAACAACCCAAGTGTCCATCAACAAATGAATGGATTAACAAAATGTGGGTATATACATACTAGTACAATGGAATATTACTCAGCCATGAAACAGAATAAAGTTTTGATATATGCTACCATATGGGTAAACCTTTAAAACATTTATAAGCAAAATAAGCCAGATATAAAAGAACAAACGTTGGGTGATTCCACGTATATGAAATATCTGGGATAGATAAATGCATAGGGATGGAAAGTAGATTAGATGTTACTGGGACTGGGGAAAGGGGTGAATGGAGAGTTATGGCTTAATGGGCATAGAGTTTCTGTTTGGGATGATGGGAAAGTTTTGCAAACAGATACTGGTAATGGTTGCACAACAGTGTGAGTGTAATTAATGCCACTGAATTGCACATTTAAAATGATTTAAATGGCATATTTTATGTTATATATATTTCATCACAATAAAAAAGAGAGGCTAAATGAGGAGAAAAGAAAAGAAGAAAGAATGTAAGAGAAAGAAAAGGGAGGGAGGGGAAAATGAAGAGAGGAAGGAAAGAAGGAGAGGAGCAGTTGGGACTTGTCCAGGCTCCCCCAGGAGGTAAATGTCTGATCTGAGACTCACAGAACCAGCACATTTGACTCTGCTGCTTCCGCCACACAGGCCATTCTCCTGCGTGCTCACAAACCACCCTTCTGCGTGGCTCCAGAGATGACTCATGCTTTGTGTGGTCTCAGGCCAGCCATCCCGGTTTGCTCTGGCCTGAAGGCGGACTTACAGTGCTTAAACCGACAAAGTCCCACGCAAGCAAAGACAAGTTGGCCACCTAAGCCACCTGAGATGGCCAAGGGTTATTTTTCTCCTAACTCCATTGCCCTCCACCGAATGGTCTGCAAGGAGTGTGTCAGGAATACATACTAACTTCTCTAACTTTTGTTTATCATCAAGAGTTCCATAGGTTTGCTGCTTGTCATATACTCAATTCATAGTAGCTTGACCATGTAGTACAGGCATTTTCTCTTAGTCGGGAAATAGGCAAAGGCATGGGGAAGAGGACACCGTAGGATGAATCCTCAGGTGATGCCTAATTAACCCGAGGAGAGCAAACATGACTTGACAGGTAAAGCTGGGCTGCACTGTGGCAGCCACATAACTGCACCCACATGGTCACCTTGGTCTCCTCATGGCCATTGGTTTCTTGTATTTGTAACCTTCACGCTCTGCTTTCCTTTTTAGGTGTCTCCAGTGAAAATCTGTGACTTTGACTTGGGCAGTGGGGTGAAGTTGAATAACTCCTGCACCCCCATAACTACACCAGAGCTGACCACTCCGGTATGTATGACTGGGCACCCTGTGCCACCTCCTTCTGAGCTTCTATACATTTGGCGTGCCCCTGACCCAGAGCTCTGGAGTCCAGAACAGAGGGCTAAGGAAGGAAAGCGAGCATATCTGTACCTCTTCCTGCTGCCTGAGTTGTCACCTGGCTCACTGCTTGTCCTGATGCCGCCCTCCCTGCCCCAGTGCTTAGCTGCTGATGAAACTGACATTAGAGCTTTTAGCTTGGGGTGGGTCCTCTGCCAATGACGAGACAAATTACATCTATAAGAACAGGCTGAGCCCTGGATCCCAGCCCAGGTAAAGACAGACACCACTCCCAGGCCAGCCCTTTGGCACTCGCAGTGAAAGCTCTGAGAGGCCCATTCCCACTGCCGAAGTCGTGGCGCATCATCCGGGGATGGCGGATGGGGAGTGTGGCCTCCCTGTGGCAAGAACTGGGGTTCCAGGCTCTCTACGTGCAGGCTGGCACGGCTAAGTTGTTCTGTTGCTTCTCTCACTTCACACTTCATGCCCAGATGGTGCTGCTGGGAGCTACTTCTTCCTAAGACATCTCTGTACATGCTCGATTCTGTAATTGTGATCCTTTTTGAGATTTGCTGCTTTGTAAGTGAATTTTCCTAATAACCTTTATTAAAGACATGCATTTGACTATGCCCATGTCTTATTCTGAGCAACATTATTAGAAATGTTTGTTTATTAGCTTTTACAACACTGAGCTACCTTGTTCTCTAACTCATTAACTCTAATTGCCAATAACAGAAAATGTCCTTTCTTCACTTACCATCTTTCCATCAAATTAGTGTGTGTGCTCTATGGAAGACAGTATGGAGTTTCCTCAAAAAACTGGAAATGGAACTCCCATTTGACCCTGTGATCCCACTTCTAGGAATATATCCCAAGAAACCA